AATCACTGCACAATCATTTAATCCCAAATTCCACAGACTCAAATTGAAAGGCATTTGTTTGTGGTTAGTAAGATACATGCATAAACTGTATGCAGTACATACATAATTGTGCGTGCATCTGTTAATCATGTTGAGTCTAATATCATCCCATATTTTCAGAACTACCGTCACGATCTGTGCTGGGAGGAGCGCGGAACGAGGAACAAGGAGACGTGGAGTACATAAACAGTCTTTAATCCTTGGAAAGACAGGGGAATTAAACATCCAATGAGTAGAACCGACAAAGGAAGACTGAACAAACAGGAACTTAAATACAAGGGATAATTACTAAACACAGGTGTCAGGAATCATAATCAAACTAAACTAGGACAGCAACATGACCAAATAAGGAAAAACAGGAACAGAAACAGGGGCAAAAAAACGGGACACAGAACAGTCCAGCATCCTGACAACTACAGTGTACTTCTGCTTTAGCTTACTAGGAAATTTAGCATTGTGGTACTGCAAGTATGATTGGCTTTTGTATGATAAACTGCTTGTGATGTTCCTCATTTCTAAGATGCTTTGAATAAAAGTTATTAGTCTGAACATCTATGGTAACATGCGTTGTTGGCGCGTAGGCTAACAGTGGGTGCCACATGCAGTGCTTCTCAATCTGTGATATGTGGAGTGCCCCCAGGTGGTATGCAGCATAACTCTGGAAATTCATCATAATAAGAAATATACATTTGATTTGTCATGTTATTTTTTGTATGTTTTATTCTAATGCCCGATTTCAATTTTAATATAATTTAATGCAATTTTATTTTAATATAATTCAATAAAAGCCACATTTTTACATTGTGCCGGATGTGAAAAGGCATGTTCTTTTTAAGTTGCAACCACGAGCCTGTTAATATATGATAATGCAAGACTGATAATGTAGATATTATTCTGTTTTTTTCTTAATGCCCTTAATGTCTGTGAGCTTGATTTCCTGAAATTTCTGACTCTTAAAATTTGGATTCAGTTGTTTTGAGCATGATATAAGAATTAAACCCGACAAATCAGTTTTATTAGTGTGTTTAAAGTGCACTCTAAAAAATGCTGGGTTAAATACAACCCAGTGCTGGGTAAAATAGGGACAAACCCAGCAACTGGGTTGTATTTAACCCAGCATTTTTTAGAGTGTGGATATCAATATTTGAAGTGGTTTTTAAAATAATGATTGAATTGTATTGCATAACTTGAATTGCTATTTTGATTATTTTAGATGCTGCTCTGGTTTGATTCTTCCACAGATCTGCAAAGGGCCTGTGGATGTTCATCCACTTAAGAGTTCATGAGAGTCTCACACTCTAAACAATGCTGGGTTAAATACAACCCAGTGCTGGGTTAAATAAAACTGATTTGTCGGGTTTAATTCTTATATCATGCTCAAAACAACTGAATCCAAATTTTAAGAGTCAGAAATTTCAGGAAATCAAGCTCACAGACATTAAGGGCATTAAGAAAAAAACAGAATAATGGAAGGATATTAGTAATAACCAAAATATAGTGTATGTTGTAAAATGAAATTAGCTTTACGCACAAAGGGACTCGGTGGTTTTTGGATTGAGAACCATTTTGTTAATGTATTCATATTAGAAAGTTGTGGTGGTTTGTATCCTGCCCGTTTTTGCTATATATCAAATAACAAGATAAACATAAACATTACTCTTATTAAATGCTGACATCCTGTGAAGGGTCACACCCAGAGCAGGACTAAATTTGTTTAACTTTCAATCATGCTACTCTAGATCAATTTGTCTGCTTGTGTGGTGGTTAGAAAATTATTATCAGTTTCTGTTAAACCACAAAGAGGGAATTAGCTTGTTTTTTTTCTAAATATATTTTAAAAAGTGGGTGGAGAGCAATTGACACATTCGCCTGTCATATATATTGCACAATTTTGTGTGAAATTATACTTTTATACGTTTATTTAATTAAATTTTTGTTGAACTAAATCATACAAGTGTGTCTCAATGTGTTACATATTTGCATACACATACAAAAATAATCCTGTTTTGACTTGGCTTCTTGTGGCACCAATCTTTGTCATAAGTGAGATCACCTCAGGCTCATTATCTGTAAAAAAGTTGAATGTTTTATTTCAGTGTGCTAGGACATACATATATTGGACTGGCATTTCACCAATGTCAAGAATAAAAGGCTGTATAATTTAACAAATTACACTTAAAATGTAGTATGTGTAGGCATTTATGCAGTTAAAATAAAACACTTAAAATAAAAGCATATTACAAAAACTAATAAACGTATTAAAACAGCCACACATTGTACGTTGGGAAAACCACTAATTTCTGGTGAGACATGCATATTATTTTCACAGCACATTATGTTAAGGGAGATGGAACTTCTGAACTGCATCTAACTAACAGGGTTTTTCTGAACATTTCTGAATTATTGAGGAAATAGCACCATCTACGGAGAAGTGTGGGCATGGTGGAGAAAAAAAACTGAAACTAATTCTGCAAGATAAAGCCACTCAGTCATGTTTATGAAACTAAAACAAATAAGATGACTCCTGTCTTACTTGTGTTAGAGACTAAGTCCAAGTACTTGGAATAATACAGTTTGGCCAATGTCCTCACCAAAATTGAGACTGTACTCATGATATGTGACTTGCATGCTCAGCTATGTCAATATCCTAAATATAGCTATATTTCACAACAATGCAGTGGTGCCAGTTTATCTCTACACACACAATCAGACTTTAAGCATATTTAAGCCAAGGAAATGAATGAACTCATCACAAGTAATTCATCACAAGTAGGCTACAGATTAAGTGATATTAAAGAGAAGGGCTTGTTGTTTGTTGTTAGAGTTCCTAACTGGTTTTAAGGAGCATTGATTGTCTTAAAACTGTCTCTTTTACAGGTTTCCAGAAACACAATAGTGTCCACTTTATATGATCTTAAAAGGATTTCAATTCTTTTAAATGCTGTGCAATCACCATAATCTTTTACAAAAGTTAATCTGCAAACACAAAATGCAATGTGTCACGAAGTGCTCTCAGACAAGAAAAGATCCAATTGCAGCCTTTTTAGAGAGTCCAAAAACAGTAAAGGCAAAATGCAAAATGAAAATTTTTTTTTGCAATGTTCCGAAGTCCAGAACAGAAAAACAATAATCCTAAAGGAGTGCCCTCTGGTGGCTGATATGGGCACTCCAGCAGCTGGTTGTGACAATAAGTGCATGTTTTTGACAGAAATAGTTTATTAGACTTACAGGCAGGCAGGTTTGACTTAGATTATGAGAAAATATTCATATAAATCCAAAATCTATTACATTTTTTTTTTGCCTTTACATAGGGGAGTAAAGTATGCTCACTCTAATGAATTGAAACCGCAATTCAAAGTCCCAATCAGTCAGAATTAACACCCCACTCAAACTATTAACCTGTGCTACTCCTGAAGAACTGCTGTTAGTATCTTATATATATTATACATATGTGTCTGTGTGTGTATATTTTTTAAATTAATTTTATTTTACTTTGGTTCATTTATTTATTTGTTTATTTACTTATTTATTTGCCTAATTTGCAGTTAGTTAGAGCCAATCTGCAGATTTCACAGAAAATTGCATAGTGAATAAGCACAATTTCATTTCAGTGGATATCAAACATGTTTTATATTTTGGGCCAATTTTAGAATGTAAATTTGTTTCATGGAATAGAAGTTTGGTCGTTGTCCTTAAAACATTGATTCATTTTCCCAATTGTTTGGTAGTGGAGCGTCTTTCAGTTCTGCAGCCTTTGCAAAACTATTTATCACTTACAACTTAAAATATCTGAACAAAGTACAAATGAAGTGATATTGAAGAAAACGTACATGGGTTAGTTGTTTTGAGATCTGTCTCCAGTGGACTTATAGGAAGCTGATGCAGAGTATATCATTTCTTTAAATCAATACAAACAATCAATGTGATTTATCTAAAAGATACAAAAAACTACATTCTCACACTGACCTTCATTTTATGCAAGACTTACCCTGAAAAGCAACTAAATGCAAAGGAATCAATCTGCGAATCTGATTAATTCAAGGTACGCCAATGCACCGATGCTGATAAAACATGTTTATTCTCTCCACACACAATTTAGACCAATAAATAGGGTCTGCACTCAACCACCAGCACTAGACTCCTGGCTTTGAAAAGAGTCACTACTTGAGCTTCCATCACCTTACAGAGGCCAAATCTTCCAGAAGACACTCCAACTGAAAGCACCAGCTGCACTTCAACTGCTTTTTTCTTCCAGGAACTCTTCTCTTCTTTGAATGGCTTGTGGACTGGGCTCTTGGCACATACTGGCATCTATTTGGCAAGAGAAGTGGACTGTGCAAGGGGACCATCAGCCCTTCAGGCTTACTAACTATAGATGAAAAGCAAAAAAAAACAGAGTGCTTTGAAAAGGTAAGCAAGCCTTAGTTCAGAGGGATTGAATTGTAAAACAACTTAAATGCAAAAATGTGTAATAGTGACTAGTTTCTTAACATACAGAATTTGATGAGTTTGAAGTACCCAGAAACCTAGAGGTTATTTCATTATTTGGGACAACTTCATGGCTTCTTGAAAGTTGCATTGGATCTCATCACTGATGGCCAGGTGCATTTGCCGAACAGGGTTCCCATGTGGACACCCTGTTAATGGTAAGGCAAACAACGTAAAGAATACACTATCTACAGCGGCAAGAAACAGATGGCGGCTCATCTCACGACGCAGTTTCCTAATGATACAAAGGCTGTAGAGGAGCTTTTCAAAATCATGAAGGTACTTATTCAATGATTTGTTGAAGTATGACCATTAAATACCCTATGAATTATATATGAATGTCTCCATTTTTCCCCCATATATATGTTCCAAGAAGATCCATCTGCTGTGTATGCTGAAGATGGTCCCACTCTGGTTTGCTCGCTTCATTCTGTGGAGTGAGAATGAAGTGTGGAGAGTTTTTGTAGTTGGTGATGCCGCATGCAGTCACTCCCATCAGTATGCATGGACTGGGGGCCACACATGGATCAATGCTGTCTGCAGAGCACAGTCTGGAGAGATACCAGCCTCTGAACATTGCCATGACCAGGTGCAACTCTCCTGTCAAGAACCTCTACCTGTCAGGTAATACTCAGAGTTTAAGTGATAAGACATTACACTAGCACAGCAATGTAGGAAGTCAATTTCTTGGATTATCTACCATTATTAAGAAACATTTGACTGCTTAATGCAGTGATTGACCAGTCAGAATTATCAGAAATATTCCGGAAAGCCTTATAATCATAATAAATATTTAAGTGGCATATATAGACAGTGACATGTTTTGCCAGGTGTAGGCTACTTATAAATGTAATTTCTTGTGCTTCATCTTAGGACAAGATGTTTTCTCCACTGGTTACTCTGGTGCTTTACATGGTGGACTTCTCTGTGCTTCAAGTGTTGTGGATCACTGTCTTTACATTGACCGTCTGCTACCCCAAAAGAAACTGAAGAGGAAGGTAATCAAGAAACTAGAGTAAAAAAACTATAAAATATGTGAAAGGGCTACTGAGATGGATATATCAGTCATTAATCTATTTCATTCCCATTTTAATGTGTTTTAACATGTAAAAACAAGCAACACAAACAGTGAAGGTTTGTCACTATCATTATCTTCAGTACAAACCCTTATATGTTTCTTTGAATGGCTTGTGGACTGGGCCCTTGGCACATACTGGCATCTATTTGGCAAGAGAAGTGGACTGTGCAAGGGGACCATCAGCCCTTCAGGCTTACTAACTATAGATGAAAAGCAAAAAAAAACAGAGTGCTTTGAATAGGTAAGCAAGCCTTAGTTCAGAGGGATTGAATTGTAAAACAACTTAAATGCAAAAATGTGTAATAGTAACTAGTTTCTTAACATACAGAATTTGATGAGTTTGAAGTACCCAGAAACCTAGAGGTTATTTCATTATTTGGGACAACTTCATGGCTTCTTGAAAGTTGCATTGGATCTCATCACTGATGGCCAGGTGCATTTGCCGAACAGGGTTCCCATGTGGACACCCTGTTAATGGTAAGGCAAACAACGTAAAGAATACACTATCTACAGCGGCAAGAAACAGATGGAGGCTCATCTCACGACGCAGTTTCCTAATGATACAAAGGCTGTAGAGGAGCTTTTCAAAATCATGAAGGTACTTATTCAATGATTTGTTGAAGTATGACCATTAAATACCCTATGAATTATATATGAATGTCTCCATTTTTCCCCCATATATATGTTCCAAGAAGATCCATCTGCTGTGTATGCTGAAGATGGTCCCACTCTGGTTTGCTCGCTTCATTCTGTGGAGTGAGAATGAAGTGTGGAGAGTTTTTGTAGTTGGTGATGCCGCATGCAGTCACTCCCATCAGTATGCATGGACTGGGGGCCACACATGGATCAATGCTGTCTGCAGAGCACAGTCTGGAGAGATACCAGCCTCTGAACATTGCCATGACCAGGTGCAACACTCCTGTCAAGAACCTCTACCTGTCAGGTAATACTCAGAGTTTAAGTGATAAGACATTACACTAGCACAGCAATATAGGAAGTCAATTTCTTGGATTATCTACCATTATTAAGAAATATTTGACTGCTTAATGCAGTGATTGACCAGTCAGAATTATCAGAAATATTCCGGAAAGCCTTATAATCATAATAAATATTTAAGTGGCATATATAGACAGTGACATGTTTTGCCAGGTGTAGGCTACTGATAAATGTAATTTCTTGTGCTTCATCTTAGGACAAGATGTTTTCTCCACTGGTTACTCTGGTGCTTTACATGGTGGACTTCTCTGTGCTTCAAGTGTTGTGGATCACTATCTTTACATTGACCGTCTGCTACCCCAAAAGAAACTGAAGAGGAAGGTAATCAAGAAACTAGAGTAAAAAAACTATAAAATATGTGAAAGGGCTACTGAGATGGATATATCAGTCATTAATCTATGTCATTCCCATTTTAATGTGTTTTAACATGTAAAAACAAGCAACACAAACAGTGAAGGTTTGTCACTATCATTATCTTCAGTACAAACCCTTATATGTTCAGTGATGTCGACTTGCTTGCTTTGAGTAAGAACCAAAATGCTGTTAAACAGAAATAAGTTGAAGTACAAAGCTTGATCAAAAACCATTTCTTTTGATGTACATTTGTCTGATGTGCTGCGGTTGCCCCCTGCATTACAAATTTACTTATGATCAAACAGCCAGTGCTACTTTTCAGCAGCAAAAATAATGGCAAGAAAACACATCTTTCAGTAAACTGTGCATGATGGTTGCACGGACGTGCAGCGCGCCTAATAGGCTTCATTAACAAATGACTTCTTTGTGAGTCAAAAACACAAGCTTGGCTCAGTTCAATAACGAATTGTTTTTAAATTTTTTCGTAAAGCAGAAAATTACAGCGTCTCGGCTAACTCGGAAGTCCTTTGAGAAATCGAATCCCGTTTGGATATGTCTCAGATTCATCCCGTAATTGTTTGGTGACCCGATTCTCCAACTGCCCGCTCCACTTTCTTCATGGATAGACCTGTTTGTCATCTGAAGAAATATAACATGAAATTAAAGCTGCAAGCAGCGATGAAAGGGCCCTCGCACCCGGGCTCACCGCCACCCGGTGGCTTAAGAAAAAAAGCCAACGGTGCGCAATATGAATTTAAAGTGATAAATATAGGAGGAATATGTCAAAGTCATTTATATGTGCCAAACTTCCTACTGCTAGCTGGTGGCGCTATGACTGTAACTGAATATGAGCATGTAGATGTCTGCAGGCCAGGACTCTTATCAAGCGTGTGAAGTTTGGGGGAGATAGGACATTGTACACATGAGTTACAGCAACTTCCTGTTTATTTGTGTTAATAGCATACTTTAGCAAATTAGCTAAGTGTTGCTAGCATGTTTTAGCATGTTGCTTGCCTATTTAACACTTGCTGACACTTTTTAATATGTTGCTAGGAGTCCATAACAGTGTTAAACATGTCACTTCCTGTTGCCAGCAGGTGGCGCTATGACTATAAATGAATATGGACATAGACATGTGTTCAGGACTGAACTCCTATCAATTGTGTGAATTTTGGGGCAGATTGGACATTGTTTGCCTGAGTTACAGCAACTTCCTGTTTCATGGAGAAACATCAAATTTGTCAGGCCGCCAGGGACATGCCCTTCAACGAAAACTCAAGATCTTCAATTCAAATTTGAAGATGATCTGATTAAAACTGTAGGAGGAGTTTGTTAAAGTACGAGGCCTGAAAATGGCAAAACTGCACAAAAACCGTACAGGAATTTCAAAATAACAGACTTCCTGTTGGGTTTCGGATTTTGTACCAAGATAACTTTTTTGTAGGTATTGGTGTGTTACATGTGTCTACCGAGTTTCGTACATGTATGTGAAACGTAGGTCGAGGCGCACTCCGTTGAAATTTTATAGGTGGCGCTATCGAGCCATTTTGCCACAACTAATTCAGAAACACATATAAAATTTTCGCCACCTCTGACGCGTGTGCAAAGTTTCGTGAGTTTTCAAGCATGTTTAGGCCCTCAAAAATGCGATTCATACCATCGGGGCTTGGGCCCTAATGAAAAAGAATATGCCGATCATGGAAACTTGATGAGTATCAGTGGAACTCGGACATCTTTAGGTTTCAGCGACATAGAGAAACATTGGAAGATCAGAAGTTTTCATCGGTTTGATGGTGTTTTATGCTACAAATATGGTAAAACGATGTGCCTGGGGTAGGCTGCTTGTAACACTGATTCCAGGACACCGGGCATCCTGAGAGGATGGGCAATAGAATTTGGAATTTATTTTATTATTCAACATTCATTTTCTGGTTGTCATACTCTCATTAAGTTAAAATTTTCATTTGCTCAAGCAGCAGAATGTTAATGCCATCTTGTGCTTCAGCGAGGTAGCCTATCTCTGGCTCTCTGGCTTAAAGTTAGTGAGCCCATGCTAACGCACAAACCTTGGCTTGGCTTTCTGGCTTGTCTTAAAGTCTTGTTTAAAAAACTTAAATAGTTTGGTCAGTTAGATGTTCTAGGTGTTTGCTAAAGTGTTGCTGGTTGGTAGAATATTCTGGGTGGCTGTGAGGCTCTTGTTATGCATTTGCTGGGGTGTTGCTAGAGTATATGTCTGATAATGTGTTCTGGGTGATTAGACATTCCCACCTCTGTTAATAACAGAAAATCAAACATTGTTTTCAAAACTGATACATGCAGTATATTAAATAAAATTGCAAGATAATCAATACCTTCAATCAATTGTTATTGTCTGTCTCTTGTTATATGCATTTTAAAAGCTTGCTTTTATTGATTCTCAGACTCCAATTGGCCTGCTCCCTAAAAAATGCTCACTTCAAATGCTCCATCTGGAGTGAGTGCGACATATTGATGGTCACCTCTCAACTTCACCTCTCAGTTTCATTAGTGCTAAACAAAAAAGCTACCTACGTTTGTGAGCAGAAATATTAGAAAAATTGAGAAATGTTAAATTATCCAGCATTATTTGCCTAGAATGTTCTGTCCATGCAGTTGGTGGAAGGAAGTGTTCTCTGTGTGTGTGTGTGTGTGTTTTAATTTTACTTTTTATGATTCCCCTGTAATCACTGAAATTTTCTTTGTGATCGTTAAAGCTAGCTTGAATTTGTTGCAAATCATTTGACATTTTATGGTGCTTTGGAAGCCTGAATTGCCTTCATACACAAAACACTGCCATCGACTGACTGGGCTCCAACCTGGAGTGAGTGCAACATATTGATGGTCACCTCTCAACTTCACCTCTCAGTTTCATTAGTGCTAAACAAAAAAGCTACCTACGTTTGTGAGCAGAAATATTAGAAAAATTGAGAAATGTTAAATTATCCAGCATTATTTGCCTAGAATGTTCTGTCCATGCAGTTGGTGGAAGGAAGTGTTCTCTGTGTGTGTGTGTGTGTTTTAATTTTACTTTTTATGATTCCCCTGTAATCACTGAAATTTTCTTTGTGATCGTTAAAGCTAGCTTGAATTTGTTGCAAATCATTTGACATTTTATGGTGCTTTGGAAGCCTGAATTGCCTTCATACACAAAACACTGCCATCGACTGACTGGGCTCCAATGCAATTCTTTTGCTTTCAAATGCAGCCAGTGTATGTGGCTGTGCAGCTGTCTTATCTCACATGTGATCAACCAGTGAATTTTAATGCTTGCATTTACACATGCACATTTGCAAGATGAATCACACAGCACAAACATATTTGACATATTTAATTGTTGAATATCAGGATATGAAATAATTGCTTCACAAGTATTATGATGCTTGTCTTCCAAAGTCTGCTCTGTCTCATTTCTCCAACAATTCAATGGTGCTATTTTATCACTTTACAAACAATCTGGTCCTAAAAATAAATGTAAAGTAAATCAGTGAACTTAACTGATTTTTCATCCAATTGAATTTACTATAATTGATCCAAGTATAGATGAAGTGATATTAAAGAGACTGCATGGGTTAGTGTTTGTTGATTGGCTGTCTGCAACTCTCTCAGGAAAAATTAGGAGGAAAATATTACTCCAAATCAATTCAACTTTTTAAGCTGATTTGATTACTTCACCACATAGTTTTTAAAAACTCCTGCTCTCCCACTTTTTATGCAAAACAAAGTTGGTCATTATAAGCAACTACCCTGCAAAACAATCTGCTAAACTGATTGAATCAAGTCAAGCCAATAGTAGTCAAGCAAGTTAATTCTCTCCACCCACAATTTAGACTAATAAATAACTCAATCACCAGCTTTAAGCTCTTGGTTGCAGTCTCTGGGAACAACAGCTCCTTAAGTTTTCAACACCTTATTAAAGGTGTAGTTTTGAACAGCCACTCCTGAAACTGAAAACACCAGCTGATCTTTTTCTCGCTATAGAAGATGTGGTGGTTTCTGCTTTTCTTAGAATGGCTTGTGGATTGGGCTCGTGGGACATACTGGTATCTGTTTGGCAGGAGAAGTGGCCTGTGCAAGGGGACCATCAGCCCTCCAGGCCCACTAGTTGTAGACCAAAACAAAAAGGACAGACTTCTTCGGAAAGGTACATAAGCTTTAGTTTGCTAGTAGTGTTGTGTAAGTTAGCGCTTCACAAACCTGTCCTGGTGACCTCCAACCACACTGCCCATTTTGTATGTCTCCCTCATAGGCTGCACCCAGTTCGTGTCTTGCAGTCTCTACTAATGATTTGATGGGTTGGAATCTGTTAACTGAGGGAGACATACAAAATATGCAGTGGTTGGGGGTCCCTAGAACAGATTTGAGAAGCACTGGTGCAAGTTACTAATGTCTATTGCTAACTAATGTTACTTGGCTTATAGAGTTTGGTGAATTTGAAGTACCCAAAAACTTGGATGTCATTGTGATTGGCAGTGGTATCGGTGGTTTAACAGCAGCGGCAGTTTTAGCCAAATTAGGAAAGAAAGTCCTATTGCTTGAGCAAGATAAACAGGCTGGAGGCCTGTGTAAGACCTTCACTGAAAAAGGATTTGAGTTTGACTGTGGTAAGATGCTCTCATTGATATTCATTGAGCTGCATTAATGATCTAAAGCTGAATGTCTTCTATTGCTAACTCAATGAATGGTTTTTGTCAGGCTTCCATTATGTTGGACAACTTCATGAGAACAGCTTCCTGAAAGTTGCGTTGGATCTCATCACTGATGGCCAGGTGCATTTTGCTGAGCAGGGTTCCCATGTGGACACCGTTGTTATTGGCACAGGAGCTCAACATAAAGAATACACCATTTACAATGGTAAGAAGCAGATGGAGGCTCATCTAAAGAAGCAGTTTCCCAATGATACTAAAGCAGTCGAGGAGCTCTTCAAAATCATGAAGGTATTTTTAGAGTGGCCTAAAGCTTATCTCCCATTAGTTTATGGCCTTTAATATCCTGTAAATTGTCTCTTTAGATCTGTTCCAAGAAGATCCATCTGCTGTGTATGTTGAAGATGTTTCCACTCTGGTTTGCTCGCTTCATACTGTGGAGTGGGATAGCTGATTTAATATCCCCAATTTTCAGATACTCCCGCACCAGTACAACAGATGTAGTCAAGTCTTTTACCAGCAACCTGGACCTCCTCACAGTGTTTTCTCAAGTATTTTATGGTAAGACTAGAATGCCTACTACCGTTTCCAACTCATTTTGCATTCAATGCATTTGTGAGTTAACAATTACCGTTTATCCAAGGTGTGCCACCCAAAAACTCCAGCTGCATGATTGATGCTCTCTTCCTGCACCACTCCAAGCGTGGTGTGTACTATCCTAAGGGTGGTGCCAGTGAGATCCCATACTACATCATCCAGGTTTTGGAGAAGCATGGAGGGAAAGTCCTTGTCAATGCTCCTGTGTCCAGTGTTCTAGTTGATGGAATACGAAAGGCATATGGTGAGTTACTGTATATGAGCTAGGGCTGTGTTGTAAGTTTAACAGGTTGTGCCGTCCATTGCATATTGGGCTCCACTACTTGCGGATGCCTAAAACTAGGGTTGTTATATTGGTGTTCTTTTTGACTAGGAGTGACCGTGAAGAGCGCAGGTAAAGATTTTGAAGTTCGGGCTCCTGTCATTGTTTCTAATGCTGGCATGTTCAGCACCTTCAAGAAGCTTCTGCCTCCAGAGGTCCAGGCAAATCCAGGTAAGTGACTGAATGTCTTCAATACAAGCTGTACAATGTATTGCAGTAAGTCTTAACGTGAAGTGCTTTATTACTGGCTAGATGTTTCTGGGGTAATGCGTGTCTGCTTCTCCTAGAGGTCCAAGACTATTTTCATACTTTGAAACCAGGCAAAGGATTCTTCCAGGTATTTGCAGGCTTCAATGCAACTATGGAAGACCTGGGCATCTCCTCAACCAACATGCGACTATATAAGAGCAACAACATGGATGAAGTGTAGGTGAACACATCCAGGAGTCACTCGTGTTTAAAAGTATCTCCATAATTTCCTTTATTGCTTTAGGATGGAAGAGTACTTTGATTCCGACAAGGAAGCTGCACCTGACAACATCCCCATGATGTACGTTTCCTTCCCCTCTACTAAGGATCCCACTTCATGCACCCGTTTCCCAGGTTAAATTTCACTCTATCGTATACAGTGGGTACGGAAAGTATTCAGACCCCCTTAAATTTTTCACTCTTTGTTATATTGCAGCCATTTGCTAAAATCATTTGAGTTAATTTTTCCTCAATGTACACACAGCACCGGGTAATACTGAGTTTCAGTCAAAGGATGTGGTCTGGTTTATGGAGGTTGCCATATTAAGATGTCGTTTTACCTCAGGACAAGATGTTTTCTCTGCTGGTTACTCTGGTGCTCTGCATGGTGGACTTATCTGTGCTTCAACCATTATGGATCACTGTCTGTATGTTGACCTCCTGCTCCAACAAAAGAAACTGAAGAGCAAGGTGGTGAAGAAACTAGAGTGAGAATATGAGGGATAATATTTACACGCTGTAATGTTTTGCTGCATGTTTGATCTCTGCGACTCTGAATAAAAACGTGAATATTGCACAATGTTACTGGTAATTGTATTTATAATGGAATTTGTTCATGCTAGGTCTCTAGACATGTAGTCCGGCTTGGCAAGTGGTTGTAATGAGAATATCCCAAATTTGTGTCCCTAAAGTAACTCTGAGGTGTCACTAACCTGGCAAGCCTTAGCATAACCAGTGACTCTCAGCTCTTTATCTACCTACCTGAGGTCTTGTGCACATTAGCGTAGCTCTTTAAATTGACTAAATTCTTGGTTGGATAACTACCCATGGTCATGGTTTGTCACTAGATGGCAGCATTATGGTGCTGCATCTTTTGCTTTACACTATAGTTTTTCAACGACTTCAGCCCACAAGCAGATGCTATGGTGCAAGTGAAATTACTCTTGGCAAAGCAAGCTATCTTGTGCAAAATAGGCTGCAGCCTATTACACGACAGTTGCATTAGAATATGCTGATGCATTTTGGGATGTTTTCGTTTGTACCTTCACTTTGATTTAGGATATGTTGTGAACTGGTTTTCACATGGAATTTAGTTGAAGCTTCAGGAGCTGGAAGATGGAGTGTCACAGATGTGCTGTTAAACCGTGTGGTCTGAAATGCTGTGTAAATGTTTGCTAGTGTTCACTTGTGTTTTCAGAAGCAGTTTGCTCCCAAACCAGAGGAAATCGCAGAGCGTTTAGAAGGAATGCAATTCTTGAGAGGGTTCTTGGATGAATAAGTGGTCTTTAGTGGGTTTGACCTTGTCCATTTCTGTTATAACTACAAAAATGCATGCTGTTGGTTGAACGTTTTGAATGCAGAGGCCAAGCATTCCAGGACCAGTTCTTAATTGGTTTTTAAAGTTAATCCTTCTACAGTTACTAATCGTTTAAGGATTTGTTTTAAGGAGAAGCATTGATATCTGAAAGCTCATTTTGTTTACTTTATTTTTCTTAAAGTTTCTGGTTTACTATCTGAATACTGTGCAGCATACAAATTATTGACTTCATTTTTTTTTTTTTTTTTACTTCTGGTGACTTTTGTTTAGGATTCAGAGTTCATAAAATTGTTCAACTGAAGTTTATGAACCATGTATAAGTCACACTTTTGTTCGTCACAGCGTATTTCCTGCAATCTAAAAGACAATGGTAAAATCCTATTGAGTTTCTCCAGGGAACCAGTGAGATACAAAAATATCATCACTGCAATACACTATTGGTCTTCTAGTTAGTCTCTTGTATGCAGAAATGTGCATACGGTGTAGAATATGCATACTACAACTCTTTGTGGGAATGGTATGTTAGCATGCTAAATTTAGCATTACCTAAATGTCTGACCCCATGTAGCATGGTATTTTTCTCCATTCTTGTTCACATTGTAAATAGAAATGTCAAGTTGCTTGCACTGCATTGAGATGGTGTAGTGCTCAGTATTTTTAAAAACTGCATCTTGCACTATATGCATACTTTAAATGGTTGAATGCATTTCTGGCCTGCTTCACCTCCATTGTTTTTATCAGGCTTTCTTCGCCTCTCCACCTTCGTTCAGTGTGCTGCATACAGATCACTGCAGTAGTGTGAGTGCAGTAGCAGTGCTATTAAAAGCTGCTGCTGTATAAATAGCCCAAGCATATAAACGGCAACTCTGACCGTATTAGATGCTGTGGCCAGCTCCCCGCAGGAAGCTGTCGATGTAAGCCAGCACGCAATCCATCTCAACCAGAGGTGAATGGAGCCTTCTGCACCAATCCAATTTTAATATTTAAAACACACACTGCAGTATAATTGAACGTTATTCACGCTCTTTATTACCAGGATCGGCTCCCGCTGCTATTTCAGGAGCTGCATGGGTAGGCTACTAGTTGTAAGTTTTCTGTGAAAATTCGGGCTCTGATTTTGCCTGCTCTATGCAGATGGTGGCTGTTCCCTGTAGCTACAGAAGGGGATATAAATAGCAGCAGTTTGTGCGTCTCTCTCCACACACACGCTGTTGTACACCCAATGCAAACACGCTCGGAGTGTGTCTGTCTCCTTCATATTCTCTCACCTCTTGCTCATCAGTTTGACTTCTAGCTTAAAATATCCTTTCTTCACTGCATCTCGCGCTCTCAATCACTTCCCATAAGAATGGTGAATCACAACGGAGATATTGTTTAACCTATATCTTTGTTTCTCCTAGGCAGCTTTTAGAATAAATGGAAAGCCAAATCTGCCAAATCTGCCACAATGTAATGCATGTGGGCTTTGTGTTAAATAGTTTCTTAGTTTATCATAAATAATTCCACCCAAATAAGTAAACACCGTGTCTCTGTGGTGCTGTCAACAGATTGCTCTGTTTGTTTGAATATCCCAAAAAGCCCAGCACAGCAGCATCGAGTATGTAAAATTACTATTTACCCAACCTAAAGCAGTCTTCAGGAGAATGAATAATGTGAAACATAAAGGTTCTTTATTGGCTTCTGTGTTTTCGTGAAGTATCATTAGCATCTAATGTTTTCATCGCACAAAAGGTTCTATAAAGTGGAAAGTTCTTCAGATTATTAAAATGTCCACACTAGAAACAAATGGTTCTTTTAAGAACTTTTAACTGAAAGGTTCTATGATTAATCAAAAATGGTTTCTTCATGGCTGTGAAGCCATTTTTATTTAATTTTTCTATTTTTTTATAAAGAGGGTTTTGTTTCAGATTTTACAAGAACAAGCAACATTTAACTTTAGTGATTTAGAGTAGTTCTGAACCCACTGCGTTTGTTTGTTAATTTTTGTAATTTGGATTTTAAACAATGTGATTTCAATTGTTTGAAAGTACATCTATTTTAATGTTATAAATAAACTATTTTATATTGTTTTGCCAGCTGATATTGTTAGACTGAAGTCCTGGTCCAGTTAGCTTTTTTTTTTTTTTTTTTTTTTTTTTTTTTTTTTTTTAGAGGGGGGGGTTTTTTTTTTTTTTACAGAAATCTTTACTCCTATAGATGTGCATCTTGGACATTGATCGGAAAAGCAACTTCAAACACTTTGTCAATACAACACACAGCTGCTGTATTGATCTGTTGATATTATCCTATAGTACATCTTTAGTCCTTGATATTTCATTAGAGTTGATTTGCAGATTATGAACTTATTTTCCTCCATGTTGGAGAATGCGTAAATGCTTGACTTAGATCTTGGCATGAGGAACAGTGTACTTCAAAAGCTTTCAGTTTGCCGTTTCGCCATTTAGAGAAATAATTTTAAATACGAAGAGTCCAAATGTCTGAGACCAGTAGTGAAGCTTCTATTTAGCTATTTTTCAAACTCTTTCATTACAAATTATATCAGCCAGAATACTTGAGTAAAGGGTTATTTTATTAGTGATTATTTTTAGAATGTTTCTGAACTTTTTTTTTTTTTTTTCCCCAGGTTAAATTAGATTTGGAATTCTATCTGTTTATCATTATGTCCTTCTATGAAAATCATCCTTTTGTACATTTACTTTACATATACTTTTGCCCTGTGACCTGTTCAAGAAAGGCTTTGTCAAGTACACATTCAAAGTTTGGCTTGACTAACTTTTAGTTAACTTACACGCGCATGATTTGAATTAAGCTCAAATCATATGTTGTATGAGGGCTGTGATTAAAACCTAACATTCACAGTGAAAACTTTCTCAGCTGAAATTTGGATAAAACTGCTCTACATTTTGCGATAATTGACAACATTTCACTGTTCATTCCACCCCCTGCTGGGCTTATTATTCTCAGCTTCCAGAATGATTTTGCACAAGCCTGCCTACATGTTTTGACTTGAACAGGAATAGAAATGCATGCAGGATACTGGTGTTTGCGGCTATTATCCTTTCACTTTAACAGCAAATCAAGAAAAGGACTTATATAACGTTATTTCCATTTTAGTCTTTTTGTTATGTCATTATTTCCCATTAGGTTATTTTAAACGTGTCATAAAAATATCAAGAAAAAAAATACAGCATATGAAAACTGTCCGTTTCTTTTAAAATTATAGTAATGCATGTGCATTATATACAATTTAGAAGTTATTGCATTTTCATGCTTTGAAACATATTTAGGGTATTATGTATATCATAGTTTTACTACAACTGCATATTTAGTTACACATTCTGAATAGCATGTACATTTGATTCAAGTTCATCTTTTTTTTTCCTGTTCATCTATGAACACACTGCAAACAAAAGAAAAATAATAAACTTTAGATAAAGAAAAATGTACTTATTTAGGGTATTATGTATATCATAGTTTTACTACAACTGCATATTTAGTTACACATTCTGAATAGCATGTACATTTGATTCAAGTTCATCTTTTTTTTTTCCTCTGTTCATCTATGAACACACTGCAAACAAAAGAAAAATAATAAACTTTAGATAAAGAAAAATGTACAAAGAATCGATTCACATCATATTATAGTATGCATGTTTTTTTCTGATTCGATTATTTATATATATTTGTTATTTTCTACAAATATTGTTAGTTCATTGTTAATATCTAACGGTGTTTTTCCTCATATTTTGAGAGGAGTTTTAAAAGAATAGTTCACCCAAAAATTAAAATGTTTTCATCCTCAGGCCATCCAAGTTGCAGTTTGTTTCTTCATCAGGACAGATCTGGAGAAATTTGGCATTATATCACTTGCTCACCAGTGGATCCTCTGCAGTGAATGGGTGCCGTCAGAATGAGTCCAAACAGCTGATAAAAACATTACAATCCACAAGTCATCCACAGTCCATCAATCAACATCTTGTGAATGTTTTTAACTTCAAAACATTGCTCCCAGTAAGTCAATGTAAGTCTGAATAAGGAGAGAAATAGGCACTGATCAAAATACTCAACAAATATGTTGGTTATTTATTTATTATTTTTTATGAGAGGACAACAGGGGATGGACTTTTTCACTGGAGGAAGTGTTATGGATTATTATATACTCTCATTAATTGATGGACTGGAGTCTTGTGGGTTATTGTGATGTTTTTATCAGTTGTTCCACATCAGATGTGATCCACATCTTGGATGGCCTCAATGTGAGTACTGAGCAAATTTTGGGTGAAATGTTC